TTCCAAAGTGGTTGAACAAGTTTACATTCCCACCAACAATGAAGTAAGGTTCCTTTCTGTCCACATCCCCTCCAGCATCTGTTGTTGTTAGAGTTCTTGGTGGGGGAGGACAGTACTGGGGCTTGAACTCAAGGCTTGGGAGTTGTCCTTAAGCTTCTTTTGCTCAGGCTAGCACTGTTCCACTTGAGCCACAGCTCCACTTCTGGCTCTTTCAGTAGTGTAGTAGAGATAAGAATCTCATGGACTTTGCTGCCCCAGCTGGCTCAGAACTACCATCCTCAGATCTCAGCCTCCTGAGTAGCTAGGATTATAGATGTGAGCCACCAGCACTCAGCTCCAGGCAAGATACTTTTGTTTGGTTCATTTCTTACTGGTTGATGGAAGAGCAGATTTATCTTAAAATGCAAGAAATCCCAGGCTAAGCGTTTGGCTCAAGTAAATGGTAGAACAATCACTTAGCCCCTGGGTCCAATTCCTAGTATCACCAACAACTGATTTTCCTTCTACAGTTCCCATTAGGAAATGCCAGCAGAATCCAGTCAGATTCGAACACCATGCACAGCCAACTCTGAAAACCACTTATAGAGTTTAATCAAGATATAAGAGTGAGAAAGAGAGTACCCTCTGAGAAGGAAAGGGATGAACCTTAAATCTACCTTATCCTAGCAAGCACAACTGTTAACATGGAAACCATTATTTTTTGTGACATAATAAAACTATTAACTAATAATTATAGGAATGGCAAGGAGACCAAAGGTCACCTTGATCAAAGGAAAGAATGTATTCTACCTTCTTTATTTTAGTTTTGTGTGTGTGTGTTTAGGAAAAAAGAATGAATCAACTCTTTTTTTGTTATGATTCATGTCTCTTAGAAGAAAAAAAGATTTGTAATGGGGGCTTAGTTATAGAAATCTAATTGTGTCGGTTTCAATATTGCAATGCTAGAAATCTCCATTCCTCACTGAGTTTTCCATGCCTGGAGCTATTTTTCTGGAGTTACAGGAAAGGGGAGTTCCCTCATCCGCTAGTTCCCACAAGTGGCAGCTGCAGCACCACTCAGCCTCACCTCTACCCCCAGGTGGCCCCAAATCTCCTCTGAAAAGCTTGGGTTCAGATATCAGAAGCAACCTTGAAGGGATGGAGAGAGCCTGGAAGCTTAGATCATATATCATGAGGCAGGACCAGGTTGTCCTCAATGCAAAATAACAGAGAAGTAGTTAGCAGAAATTGTCCTATTTAGGGTTAGGTCAACCCCAGGCATAAGCCACAACTCTCAAGAGCTCTTGGATTAGTCATAGCAGTGAAGAAAAGGAACACTGAGCAGTGCCTGGCAGGGAGTCTGGAGTTTCTGGTTTGGAAGCTCAAGAAGGCGTGAGGCATGGGAGGGGCCTCCAGGTAGGGGAGGGCACATAGCTAGGCAGGGCTCTAGTGAGTTATGCAGCAGAGCTGTGCTATAGCAGAGGCAACCAGGACACGGGACACGAAGACACCAAGAGTCTCCTGAAACTCAGGAGAGTGAAGACACTCTTGACTACCCAAGATACCACTCCTGCTCACTTGTCGTTGTGAGGCTTCTACTTGTCCTGTACCCAACAGATGGAGGCACTAATAGGAACAAAAATTGGTTGCCTGTTTGTCCTTCTGTTTCTTACCCTGGGCTGTGGCCTTATTCCTATCTGCTTCAAATGGTTCCGGATTGATGCAGCTACAGGTACAGCCCTACTCCATCTTTTTCCCTTTAACCTTAGTCTCACACTGTCCTGATTCCTGGCTCTAATTCTCAGCATTCTCAAGCTCAAGATACTTGAATACAGCCTTGTTTACCCTTTAGTCACCTTTGTTTGTCTCCTTACTGCCAATTGGATTGTAACTTCTGCTTTTTTATAAGGTCGTCGCCACCAGGTCCTCAGCCTTCTGGGCTGCATCTCTGCTGGTGTTTTCCTGGGAGCTGGGTTTATGCATATGACCACTGAAGCCCTGGAGGGAATTGAATCAGAGATCCAGAAGTTTATAGGACAGGTGAGCAGCAGCAATAGCAGAGCTGAGCTTCAGGGCTACGAAGCCAGAGTGATCAACAGAACCTAGGAATGGAAAGGAAGAAAATGTTGGGACCAAAGACAAGGGTAAGATGACAGAGTGGATAACAGTTCTTGGGGTTATGGAGAATGATGAAAACAGGTCAGATTGGACTTTAAGGAAAACAGTACTGCTGAAAGGTCAGAGCAGGAAGGTGAGCTATGCCACCTCCCACCTAATTTCTGTTTGTTTCTTCCTAGAACAGTACAGAAAGTAAAGGAAATTCTTCTGATACTGCTGATTCCACTCATGTGAGTATCTCACACCAGTCCTTGGGAGGTGAGGAGAACCAGAGATTCCTTTCATACTCAGATGTTTTCTTAGAGGAATATGTGAAAAATACCAAGATGCCCTTCTCAGCTCAGATACTATAGAGCAAAGGAGGAGCCAGTCCAATCCATTTTCTTTGTGAAGTCCTAGAAAAGGTTTTGCTTTTCTTTCTTTTCTTATATTCTTTTAACTGATAATATATATGCATATATATTATATATACATATGTGTGTGTGACAATACTGACTGGGGTTTGAACTCAGGACCTGGACATTGTCACTTAGCTTTAACTGCTCAAGGCTGGCACTTTACCACTTGAGTCACAGTGCCACTTCCACCTTTTTGGTGGTTAATTGGAAATAAGAGTCAGGTTTTCTTGACTCGGCTGCCTTCAAACTGTGATACTCAGATCTCACCATGGGGGCCAGGCTTGTTTTCCTATATTTCAAACTCTATGGATACTGTGTTGCTTAGCACCTCTATTCCAGTCTTCATTTTCCTACCTTTAACTTACCAATCCTATATCCATCTATATACTGTCTTCCTTGCCTACCAGCTCACAGCCCCCTTTCTGTTCCTAGGTGGAGTATCCCTATGGAGAGCTTATCATCTCCCTTGGCTTTTTCTTGGTCTTCCTTTTGGAGTCACTTGCATTCCAGTGCTGTCCTGGGGCTGCTGAAGGATCAACACTGCAGGAGGAGGAATGGAGTGGATCTTCTGTTTTTGGATTCCACAGCCATTCACCTCTACCCTCACCCCCACGGGGTCCCCTTCGAGCCCTTGTCCTCTTGCTCTCACTCTCCTTTCACTCAGTGTTTGAAGGTCTAGCTGTGGGGCTACAGACAACAATAGCAGCTACCATACAACTCTGTGTTGCTGTCCTGGCTCATAAAGGTCTTGTAGTGTTTGGTGTAGGACTTCGGCTGGTGAAGTTAGGCACTGGATCACAGTGGGCTGCATTTTCCATACTGTCATTAGCTCTCATGTCCCCCTTAGGCCTAGCTTTAGGGATGAGTGTGGCTACTGGGGATTCTGAAGGAGGTCAGGGCTTAGCCCAAGCTGTATTAGAGGGTGTGGCAGCTGGCACATTCCTGTATGTCACCTTCCTAGAAATTCTACCCCGGGAGCTAGCTGGTCCTGGTGCCCCTCTGACTAAGTGGTGCTGTGTGGCTGCTGGTTTCACCTTCATGGCCATTATTGCCTTATGGGCCTGAAAGAGTCCTGCTTGCTGTGATAGAGCTATCTAAGAGGACTCCTCCCTACCACCAAGAGACAACTCTCTGTGGCTTTGGCCCTCAGACTTTTTCTTTCTTGTGAGACTAAAGAACATTCACAAGCGGTTTCACTCCCCAGGGACTGGACCCTACCTTTTATCTACCTAAGAAGCCATTTGTCACTCAGAACTGAGTATGGAATATTTAGATTCTATGTTTATGTGGAGAACTGAAAAAAATGCCATCATTTCAGATTTGACTTTTCTCCTGTTTATGCTGCTATGTGTGAATAAAATGCCCTTTTGACCCTTTCCCTTCAGCTATATTGTATTTCATTTCTCCCAACTGCCTAGAAGCTGCCCTGTAGGGGAAGTAGAGGAGTAGAAAGTTGAATACAATGTTTTCTCTTGGAATTGGAGTTCTATAGCCAATGACAAGTTGTTGAGTGTGTGTGTGTGTGTGTGTGTGTGTGTGTCTAAGTGTATACCCACGTACCAATCCTGGGGCTTAAACTCAGGGCCTAGGTGTTGTCCCTGGACTTTTTTTGTTCAAGGTTAGTGCTATACCATTTGGGCCACAGCTCCAATTCCAGCTTTTTAGTAGTTTACTCTTGCCCAGGCTGGCTTCAAATCCCAATCCTCAGATCTCAGCCTCCTGAGTAGCTAAGGTTACAGGCATAAGACACTGGTACCTGGTGCATTGTTGCAATTTTTAAAAGCCTCTTCCCCCTTACCCATAGTAGTTCAGCCAGCACTCCCAGCATTTAGGGTGAAACAGATTTCAAAGCAGAAAGCAGGGGAAATCAACCAGGCACCATAACTGTGGTGCGTGGATCATGACTGTAATCCTAGCTATACAGGAGGCTGATATCTTGAGTTATCTTGGTTCAAAGTCAGCCCAGGCAGAAAAATCTGTGAGACTCTTATCTCCAGTAATTACCAAAAAACTGGAGGTGGAGCTGTGGCTCAAGTGGAAGAATGTCAACCTTACACAAAAAATAAGGGACAGTGAACAGGCCCTGAGTTCAAGCCCAAGTACCAGCACAAAAATACAGAAGTCATATTTTTCCTACATTAACTGTCTCACCCCACTCCCAGTACCAGCTGTCAGCCATCCACAATGTACCCAGCAGACTCTCATCAGACAAAATGGAGTCTATTTTCATCAAGTTCCTATTTTCACATTGAGCCCTCTGTGTCTTGAGGAACACTATTGTTCTTTGAACCTCTGTCTCTTTCTGGCTGTCTCATGCTGAAGGATTAAAAAACAGTTATGTTTTGAGAGCAGAGAAGCCACATCCGTGGCTTTCCTTCTTCCTGCCCTACCAGTTGCCTTTCAGTTTGGGTAACCCTTACAGCCCCCTTCCCCTCCTGGCACACAGGTGAAGAACTGGGAACGAGCAGACACACCCTTACCAATTTGTCTTTTTATATTTTAAATGTGGAAATCCGAATAGCCTGAACATGGTCAAGGTCTCCTGAATCTGTCAATGGAACATGGATGAAGGATTCCTTCATCTCCCCAATTTCCTCACAGAACCATAGGTCCTTGAGAGCCACAGGTGAAAAATAATGTTCAGAGAGCTGCACTAGGTGAAAGTTTTAGCAAAAGTTTATTTTAGGTATTTTAGTATAACAAGGTTAAGGTTTCTTTATACTAAAATAGTTTAGTATAGCAAGGTTAAATAAATGCATTAGCCTGTCCTGTCTCTTCCTGCTCCCCATGTTAGGAACAGGAGTTACAAACAATCCAAATGGAAGCCATAATCTTAAATTGGGGTAATACACATGGTTCTTGTAAGGTTCACCAACATAATGTAAGGTTCACCGGAAAGAGACTGTCAGGCAGAAGAGTTTATTGGGGGGAGAGCATACTGTTGGCCTGCACAAGATAAAGGTATGCGGGGGCTGTACCAGATGGAGGGTACAGGGGATGCAGGGGAAGGGAAAGGAAAGGGGAAACTAATGATGGAGACTGACTACACAGGAAGAGAGCAGGAAGGAGGTGTGGGTGGCCACAGCAAAGGGCGTGGTAGGAGACTCGGGATCTCAGCCATGACCTGGAGGCATCTCCTATTGCCCACAGGTGGGCCAGTTACCTGGGTGGGGCAAGGACAGCTAGGAAACGGTCCATTTTTCTCCCTGGGTGGACCTAATAGGTTTCTAAGCAGCCCCCAATACTTAGGCAATGGTTCTGGGTAGACAAGATAGGTTCTACTTATTCTAAAATATCAAGATGTTTTGGGGACTACCCAAACATAGGCATTATGGGCTAGCAGTTAATTAAATTTCCTTTTCTCAGATTAGCTTTTTATCTTTTGTCTTTACTTGCATCTGCCCAGAGTTGCCAGGTTTCAAAAGAGAGGACAGATTTACATAGATAGCACCACCAGCCTCCTCCCCACCTCCTCCCACCCCCTGCTCTGTAATTTAGCATTGAAATGGAGAAACGTTTAACTTTGTTGCTTGCTTCTGTGTTCAGTCTTGCCTTTTTTTTTTTTTTTTGCCAGTCCTCAAGGCCTGGACACTGTCCCTGAGCTTCTTTTGTTCAAGGCTAGTACTCTACCACTTGACCCACAGCGCCACTTATGGCTTTTTCTGTTTATTTGGTACTGAGGAATCAAACCCAGGGCTTTATGCATGCTAGGCAAGCACTACCATTAAGCCACATACCAGCCTGAATCTTGCCCTTTTATGTTTATTAAAAAGAATACCATTTCCCTGTCTCCTTACCTATTTCTCCTGCTTGGCTTCTTTATATCTTGTTTCCTTTCCTACCAAGTAGAAAATACAAACCCAGTTTATACACACAGGGAATGGTGAGAAGGCAAGCCTCAGACAAAAATAGACATATAGTAGATAGATGGTTAGAAAGAGAAGAGAGAGTCTTGTGGGGGGAAAAAGACCTTCCTTAAACCACCATTTTATTGTTTCTCTTCAGTATGAAATTCAGGAACATGTAATACACTCAGAACAGTGCCCAGCGTGTTTCTAATTAAACACCAGCTACGTGCCAGACACTGTGCTTTCATAAACATTATCTCACCTTCACTACCCCACCCCCTACTACCACCCCTACTACCACCCAACAGCTAAGTCTTACCCGTACTCTAGTAAGTCTAGGCAAACTAGCATTCAGCATAATTAAATAACTTGGTTAGCTGGCAGCTGGGCTTCAAATCCCTGTTTATCATTCGGCAAAAAGTTCAGAATTCTCTCCTCCTTCTTACCTTTATCTCCCCTCCTATCTTCCATTCATATGTTAGGATCCCAGAACAAAGCACATACAGTGGTACACTGGGTAATTAAAAGGCAGGTTTGATAAAGGGAGTATTTAGTAAAGTGTAGGCGGCATTTGAACAAAGCAAGATGCAATACCTTAAGTGATTATAATTAGACTTTTACCTAGGCTGAAGAGAGGAGAGCAGTTACCAGAAACTAGAGGAGCCATCAAATCAGAGGTTGGCACTAGTGGAGGGATGCTACCAACCTGCAAGTGCACCAACCTACAAGAAGGGGCACAGAGAATAACCTCTTTCCTTCTTATCTTTTATCTGCTTCCCATATCTTACTGGTAAATCCAAACAGAAACCAAAGCACAGAAATATCTGCTTTATATGGCAGACAGGCTAACCTCATGGAACACAGCATATAATATGGAGACCTAGAGTAATAAACAGAAGATGTGCTACATCCTACTGATTCTCTGCTATGTCCAACTTAAGTTACCTTGACAGGAATCTGGCAGGGATGAATTGAAAAGAATACAATTAATTATATGGAAGCTAGAGTGTGATTTCTGGTATGGAGGATGTGTATGACTGTAAGAAAGAAGACATGGAGTACATGTGCCTGTTGTGTCTCTTCCCAGGTTTCTAGTTGATGCTATCAGCATTGAGGCAACTGAGGCAGAGGTTGGGATATGTCAAGCTCAGATGAGTCATGTAGTTTTTTCCTATCTTCTTCCATCCCAGGGTCCTTGTATTCCCTTTCATCTTCTCTGCAATAAGTCATCAGTGCTCTTTCCTTTCCCTGAAATTCTTACCATCCAGAACCAGAAGCATCTGTAACTTGTTAAGTAGACCTAGATCTGGATTAAAGCTAAAAAGCAGTTCCATACACAGAACACTGGAAGAATATCCACACCAGGGAAAGGAAAACAATTTCTTTTTGTCATTTCTAAAAGATGAGAGTTTCTAGCAAGGGGTGGGAGAAGGACTTAGGAGAGAAAAAGATGAAGATAATAAGAAAAGGAAGGATAAGAACAGATATAAGAACCCTGAGGAAAGAGCTGGCATATAGGACTAGATGACAGGAAGAAGCTTTGATTCATCCAGCTCTAAAGAGATAAAGTTGTGAGGCTGGGCAACTGCAATCCTAGGTACTCAGGAGGCTGAGATCTGAAGATTGTGATTCAAAGCCAGTGTAGACAAGAAAGCCCATGAGACTCTTTGTTAGTATTATGCTCACCTTTGATCCTCAGCTGCACCCAAATCTAGGCCCCCCTCCCATTCCTGGAATTTCCTCCATTCAGCTGGCCCCTCCCTCTCTCCCAGACCCACCTAAACTCCCATCTATCTCACTTCCTATCCCTCAGACCCTCCTGCTACCTGGATGGTGGTGGAGGCCATGTGCTCCCTCTTAGGGGAAATATAGCTCCTCTAATAAACCTTATAATAATCTTTCTCCTGTGCCTGCCTCCCTGCCTCTGTGTAGTCCCCTGGGATGGATGTGTGGGATCCTCTTTCACTTATCTTCAAATAACCAGCAAAAAGTGGTAGAGCCCAGCCTTGAATGAAAAAGCTAAGGACAATACGTAGGCCCTGAGTTCAAGCCCCAGTGTTTGGGGGGTGGGGGGTGGAAGAGATAACTAACTAGAAAGAGTTAAAAAATAAAAATAGCCAGATACTGTAGCATACACCTATAATTCCAGCACTCAGGAGGCTGAAGCAGGAAGATGAGAAGATTAGGAGTCCAGGCTAGTCTGGGCTTTATAGCAAGACAGGAGGAGGAAGAGGAGCTATAGCTAGGTGCCAGTGGCTCATGCCTGTAATCTAACTACTCGGGAGGCTGAGATCTGAGAATCGTCATTCAAAGCCAGCCTTGGCGGGAAGTCTATAAGACTCATCCCCAATTAACCATGAAAAAAGCCAGAAGTAGAGCTGTGGTTCAAGTGGTAGAGTGCTAGCCTTGAGCTAGCCTTGAGCAAAAGCTTAGGGACAGCATCCAGGCCCTGGGTTCAAAAGGAAGACTTGTGGAATAGAAAAAGAGTTAAGAGGAAGCTAGTAGAATAATCAAAAGAGAATTTATGTGGACAATGTTCACGTCTTCTCAAACCTGTTCACCCTTCTCTACCCTTCATTCTCCACTCCCTAAGTAAACAGAACATCCTTTAAAAGTCAGGTTTCCATTTCTGCCACCAATAAATTGTTTTGTGAGGTAGCCCTCTGGAACTCTGCTAATCATCCCTCTGCTTTTTTTTTTTTTGTCAGTCGTGGGGCTTGAACTCGGCTTGGGCACTGTCCCTGCCCTCTTCAGCTCAAGGTGAGCACTCTACTGCTTAAGCCACAGTGCCACTTCTGGTTTTCTAGAGGTTTATTGGAGGTAAGAGTCTCACGGACTTTCCTGCCTGGGCTAGCTTTGAACCATGATCCTCAGACCTCAGCCTCCTAAGTAGCTAGGATTACAGCGCCCAGCAATTCCTCCCTCTGCTTTAAAGCTGAGAGGTTTATTTGGATATCACAGTTGTAAGATGTTATGAAGTGAGATGGAAATTACAAGAAAAACCACATTTTACAAATATTCTGGAGCAGGGTAAGAGGTCAGTCATATCAGGATAAGAACATCCAACAACAACAAAGTACTGGAGTAATTTGTGAGGCACTGGGCCTGCCCTGAAAGAGTTTGGGACTTCTGGCCTCCTTCCTCACTGCAGGAAGTAGTTCCTCTTTCCTGGCTCCAAGCTGGTAAAGCACAGCATCCAGAACTTGAGTGGGTTGGTATGTGCATGTGCACCAACCACCCATACATCCTCACATTCCCCCAAGGGCTATCTCTTGCCATGAGGAAAAGTGAGAAAAAGGTATATGGCAGGGATTACACCTAGGCGCCAGACTGTGGGAATGTCTGCAGAATTGTGCTCTGAGTTTCTGTCTTTAGATTTGTCAAATGTCCTATACAATGTGCATCATACTTTTACCTCCAATTTGGAGGCAATTCTGGTGAGAATGAAGAGAGAGTAGGAATAAATTGCATTGTCCTGGGCACCATATAGTTCACCACACTCCTGGATTCTAATCAGACCAGACTCTTGACAGTCACCCATAACTCATGCCTGTCATCCTAGCTTCTTAGGAGGCTGGGATCTGAGGACCCAACCAGATAATCTGGGAGACTCATCTCCAATTAACTAGCAAAAAAGCCAGAAGTGGAGATGTGGCTCAAGTTGCAAAGTGACAGCCTAAATCAAAAAAAAGGGAAGCAAAAACAAGAAATCCTGAGCTTAAGCCCCAATGCTGGCACACACTGTGAAATCCAAAATTCTCAAGCTGAAACTTTAAGCCCTTTTAACAGTGTCCTGTTTTATTCTCATTGCCATTGAATGTTCTGTTTGCTATCTTGAGCTTTAGTCCCTACAGTTTGTGAAGCACTTCTTCTGGGAATGAAGGAAAAGATAAGCAAGAGTCCTAAACCTGAAGTGGGGAGGGAGGGGTTAGGGTATGAGGGTGTAATGGTAGAGGGAGAGTATAAGTTTGAGTCATTACACCCTACCCCTGACCTCTGACCTCTAATCTTCAGAATGGACATAAGCTATAGGCTATATCTTGCAGAACTTGCATATAAAGCTAATGGGCAGAATTACAAAAAACAACAGGGCTGTTGCACAGGGCCTCCAGGAATTGAGTGAAATTATTAAGAAACATGCCAACCACAGGGAGGTGCTGTGTCTCCATGGGCTGCACCAGATATCTAAGACCAACAAAGTAGGTCAGTCAAGGACAGTAAAAGCCTCCTCTCCCTACCCTACCTACTAGCTTCCTTCTACCTAACCATCTGCTAGTGCAGACATCTGTAGGAAAGACAAGGCAATTGCCACCGGTTTCATACATGCATCTACATCACAAACAATACACATGAATGTAAAGACCTTGCTCCCCTTCTATAATGTACAAGCTCTGCTTCTACCAGTAAAGTCTTAAACTGGCTTCAATTCTTTTCCTTTTTTCCATGTGTTTTCCTGGGAGCCAAATGACTCCAATGACTCCAGCTATGTCTTTTCTCTTCTTTAGCATGACATTCAGCACTTTTTGCTGCCTGCTTTGCACACAGTTACATAATGTGAATTTAACAGCCAGTTCCATAACATTGCTGATGAACCAAAGCTCATGTCCTCCTCCTGACTCTCACCTACCACATTTAAAATAGATTCAGGCCACACCCTGGTGACTCACACTTGTAATCATAGCTGGTCAAGAGGCTAAGATACAAAGAATCATGGTTCAGGGGCTGGGAAGGTGGCTCAGTGGTAGAGCGCTTGCCTTGCATGCATAAGGCCCTGGGTTCGATTCCTCAGCACCATATAAGCAAAAAGAAAAAAGCCAGAAGTGGCGCTGTGGCTCAAGTGGTAGAGCGCTAGCCTTGAGCTGAGGGGCAGTGTCCAGGCCCAGAGTTCAGGCCCCACGACCGGACCAAAAAAAAAAAAAAAAGAATCATGGTTCAACGCCAGCCCAGGGAGAAAAATATTAAGACTCCATTTCCAAAATAACCAGCAAAAAGCCAGGAAAGCATGGCTTAAATAGTAGAGTATCGTTGAGCAAGTGAAGGCCCTGAGTTCCAACACTGGAGATTAAAAAAAAAAAAAACTACTGATAGGGGAAAAAGGGCAACTCAGTGCTACAGGAAGTCTTGAACAACCCATCCCCAAAAGTGCCATGAACATGTCCTGTTTCTCAGTTTCATCACCAGGACTAAGTGTCAGCTGCCTTGTCTGCAGCTGAGCTGCATTAAGGAAACTGTGTCATTGATTTTTTGTTGGTTCTGGGGCTTAAACTCAAGGCCTGGCACTATTCCTGAACTATTTCACTCAAGGTTAGCATTCTACTGTTTGAGCCACAGCTCCAACTTCTAGCTTTTTGGTGGTTGGTTCCTAGGTTGGCTTTGAACCACAATGTTCAGATCTCAATTTCCTGAAAAGCTAAGATTTCAGATGTAAGCCACAGGCACCAGGCTAATTTTTTCTTTTAAGGAAGCAAAATAATGACCATGTAATATCCTATTGCTGTAAACTGCCTTCTCATTTTTACTTCTTGTGCCTCAAGAACCAAGAAACAGCTGGCAACAGCCACAAGATACCTGAATTCCACTTGCTGACTGTTCTTCATATTTGTTAAAAAGCTTATTAGAAAGCCAGGTACCAGTGGCTCATGCCTGTAATCCTGGTTACTCAGGAGGCTGAGATCTGAGGATTAAGGTTCAAAGCCAGCCTGAGCAGAAAAGTCCCCATCAAAAAAGCTGGAAGTGATGGGCTGGGAAGGTGGCTCAGTGGTAGAGCACTTGCCTTGCATGCTTGAGGCCCGGTTTGATTCCTCAGCACCATGTAAGCAAAAAGAAAAAAGCTGGAAGTGGCATTGTGGCTCAAGTGGTAGAGTGCTAGCCTTGAGCTGAAGAGCTGAGGGATAGTGCCCAGGCCCAGAGTTCAGGCCCATGACTAGACCCCCCCCCAAAAAAAAAAAAAAACCAAAAAACAAAACTGGAAGTGGCACTGTGGCTCAAGTAGTAGAGTGCTAGTCTTGACCACAAAGTGTCTAGGATAGTGCCCAGACCCTGAGTTCAAACCTCAGGGGTAAAAAAATAAAAACCAAGGGTAAAAAATAAAAAAGTTTCTTGGAGAACATGATTTAGCTAGCTCTCAGATCCCTGGGACTCTGTGAAAGAAGAATTCTCAAGAGGAAAACTATTTTTGCTGTGACCCTTCTGACAGTCTTCCAAACCTGATAACAACTTTATGAGACTTGGTCCACTAATTAAAATGAACCACCCATCTAAAACAGAGCTAGGTAAGCCCTAGGAAAATGAATCAGGAGATATTGAGTAAAGTTTCAGTCAGCTTTCTATACTTCTTTCTCAAAGATGATATTGGTGGCACCACTTAAATTCTATGGCTTTTCTCAATAATCTGGAGCAGATAAGGAAGTCTTCTTAGGACTAAGTAGCTCTTCTTTCCCAAACTCATGCCTGTAATCCTAGCTTTTCAGGAGGCTGAAATCTGAAGATCATGGTTCAAACCTAGCCCAAGCAGGAAAGACTGAGACCTTTTTTTTGGGGGGGGGGGTCGGTCATGGGGCTTGAACTCTGGCCCTAAGTACTGTCCCTCAGCTCTTCAGCTCAAGGTTAGTGCTCTACCACTTGAGCTACAGCACCACTTCCAAGACTGAGACTCTTTATCTCCAATAAACTACATAAAAACTGGAAGCAGAGCTGTGGCTCAAGTGGTAGAGCACTAGCTTTGAGCAAAGAAGCTCAGGAACAGCACCCAAGCCCTGAGTTCAAGCCCCAGGACTGCACACAAAAAAGAAGGGGTACTATTGGTAGTCAGTGTGCACATCTGTAATCCTAGCTACTTAGGAGCTAAGGTCTGAGAATTAAGGTTCAAGACATCCTGAGCAGATATCTTATCTATAATTAACCAGCAAAAAGCTGGAAGTGGGGCTATGGCCCATATACAGGGTGTCAACCTTGAATGAAAAGCAGGAGCATGAGTCCCTAAGTTTGAGCCCCAGTACCAGCACATACGTGTGCACACAATACTATTAACAGAAAGAACAATGCTGTTTTACTGGAACAAAAGCCAGTTTCTGCCAGGCACCGGTGGCTCACACCTGTAATTCTAGCTACTCAGGAGGCTGAGATCTGAGGATCATGGTTCAAAGCCAGCCCAGGCAGGAAATTCCACGAGACTCTCCTCTCAAATAAACTACCAGAAAACCGGAAGTGGCGCTGTGGATCAAATGGTAGAGCGCTCACCTTGAGCTGAAGTGCTCAGGGACAGCACCCAGCACCAGAGTTCATGCACCACAACTAACAACAACAACAAAAAAGCCAGTTTCTGTGTGGTGACATTTTGTTAAGTTTTATACTACATAAGCCATCGATCATTCAGTTTGTGCCACTTTGGTAAGAGAATGTGAGAGCTGGGTAGAAGACACAAAAGGGGTATAGTGCATACTCAAGATTCATAATGGTGCTCAGATTTCTCTAGTTTATTGTCACAGCAGAAGTGGGAGACAGAAGGCAACCTTCCATACATAATACAGTTTGGTCAGAGCCCCAGAGTAGCCCTTCCCACCCTTACACCATGTCCCAAGAGCCTGACCCAAGTTTGGTTCCCTCCTCCATCCCACTCTAGACACACACTCATAGCTACCAAAGTTAGTGAAGCCAAATGGCCCCAGGCCCCTCCTATTGCTCCAGCTCCAATCCTTCTACCATACTCAATCATCACCCACCATCTCCCATTCCAATTTCCTTTTTGCATACTGGATATTCTTGTCACATCATGAGGATCACAGACCCACCAGCAAGCCTCCCCTTGATATTCATCCATTTAGGCCCATTTCCTTCAGAGGCCTACAGAGATCATGGAAAGCTATACCAGCTTTGGTGAATGGAGCCCCAGCCCCAATGCCCTAACCTTGCAAATATGGGATAAGTAGAGAGAGGCTGATGGAGGCATCATGACAACTACAAAAACCTCTTATCCCTCATCTATGGACACCTGTATCAGGGAGAATACATGCCTTCTCCTCTTTAACACCAAAATGGGAGAGGAGATAATTTAGGGGTCTGGGTCCCTAAGAGATATTAGGACATTTCTCCCAGGAACTGGGGAAATCACAGGTTAAAGGTCAAGGTTAGGATAGCATTCAAATGTCAAGATCATCTTCCTGCATGACCTGCCTACTTTCCCTGCTTACTCTGGCCCAATGCCCTTATGTACCTCCCAGGTTAGTGCTGTGGGAGGTGAGGGTTGGGTCCCACATCAGGGCAATAAAGGTCCCTCAGCAGGAGACCTCCATAGTGTGCTCTGGGGGCCCTGAAGGAAGAGTCCCAGACTCACTACTCTGGGACAGGGTACGTGAGCGGGACCGGTTGCCATCAATGGATGCTGCACTGGTCAGAGAGGCTGTGCGAGACCGGGACAGACGAGTCATACAAGATGAGGCCACTGTGAAGACAGAAGTACAAGTAAGGAGTCTGAGAGGAGACTGGCAACCTGGAGTAGGGTGCTTGGGTAAAGACCAAGGAGGGCCAAGGAACCAATGAGCTTGACTTGGCAGAGAGTGGTGAGTCCAGAAATTAACATAAAATGGTGTCAGCTCACACTTGTAATCATAACCACTCAAGAAATGGAGCTCTTAGGATCGAGGTTCAAAGCTAGCCCAAACTGGAAAGCTTATGAGGCTTTCTTCATTAAGCCCTAAAAAGCAGGAAATGGAACTGTACCTCAAGTGTAGAACACTAGCCTAGAGCAAAAAAGCTAAGGGATAGTACTCAGGCCCTGAGTTCAAGCCCCAGATCTGGCACCAAAAACAACAACAATAAAAAGGTTTCATGTCTTCCCACTCCTCCTTTGGCCCCACAATAGCCTCTATCCCCTACTCACTGTAGCCCATGCCTTGCAGGAAGTACTTGAAGGCCTCAGTCAGCTTGCCTGGCTGTGGATATATTAGGAAGACATAAGTTACAGGCCAAGCAGGAGTCCAAGGTAGAAGAAATAGGATGTGTCAAAGGGAAGAGGAGTTCAAAGCTACCAATCAATATCTTACCCACTTTCTCATCCATGGTCAGAAGGAAACTCACCTGAGTCAGCTGAGGCTGACCTCCAGAGTCAGCCATCTGCTCAGAAGAGCCACCCAGGAAAAAAAGATACACTTGTCAATGAAATGATCCCCACCAAGAGGTAGAAAACAGATTTCCCTTTCCAGCTTCCTCATTCTATGCTGTTTGTTTTCTTCTTCATTCTCCTACCCCTCCCACTCATTTCCATGAAAGCCCTGATGGCTTACAAGCTGAATTCAGAGAAGAAATATAGCTCTAGACAAGGGGCCAGAAGGCAGGCTGGACAGGGAGTAGAGTTACTGACCTTAAGGAACGAGGTCTGGGTAGGGTCCAGTTTTGAGTTGCATTCCACCTGGAGTAAACAGGATGTGAATGAATGAGACTACTCTCCATGTGCACCCCACCCCCACAAGACCCTGATTCCCTATCAGCTCCCTACCCAGTTCTTTTCCAGGAACCAAATTTATAATGCCACAAAGCTGTCCTAAATCACTGTCCTAAATCACTAAATCACTTTCTCCTTAACAAAATATACTTCTGACCACCACCCTCAGATCCAAGCCCTTCCTTACCACCCAGAATTTCCTACTAACCACTGCATCTTCATGGGGTGCTTGATCTCCTACCACCAGCATCACAGGACACCTACAGGCAAAGTATTGGAGAAAAGGAAGTGATCCTGACACTGTATCACCCACCTCTTCCTGTAACAGCATCCGGAAGCTAGGAGATAGTGGCTCATGCCTATAATCCTAGCTACCTAAGAGGCTGAGATCTGAGAATCACAGTTCAAAACCAACCCAGCAGATGATTCCTTTTATCTCCATTTAACCAGCAAAAATCCAGAAGTGGAGATGTGGTTCAAGTGGTAGAAGGTCAACTTTGAGCATAATAGCTAAGGGATAGTTCTCAGGCGCTGCAATCAAGCCCTAATACTAATGCATGTGCACGTGCACGCATACACATACACACACACACACACACACACACACACACACAGCAGCTAAAAAACATGAAAGGCTCCAGCTTTCTTGTCCCCTGTTGATTCCACAAAGAGGAGTGAAAAAAGGGAAAGATAAATGGGGTAATTTGCTCCATAGAATGTAGTAAGAAATGACAGGGCAATTCCTGGGCAAAGCTTCTCTTCCTAAGGAATATAAACACTAAGGTAAGATCCAAAGTGAGGGCAAAGCCTCATTTCTTAAGGTCTTACTTGAGAGTGATCTCACCACCGCGCTCTAAGTTCAGGTCTCGGCGGCTACAGAGGAAGTCAAAAAGTAGAAATTTTAGGCAGTTATGCTATATCCATTCACATATAAGCTATCCTCTACTCCCCACACCTTTACGAAGCTATCTTCTTTCTTTGTGGTCAAATACTGGAATTAAAAGTGGCAACCAAAGGGTATGATAGCGGCAGATCCCAGGCACAATGCTCCTGGATCCCTGATCAGAGCTTATCTATTCAAAAGGACAAATCTTACTCCTGGGAGTTCAAAAATAGAAGGGAAATAAAAGAAGGGGGACCGTACCCCATAATCACTCCTGCGTTGTGGTCCTAAAACTTCTCTAGTTGTATACCAGACCCTACCCTCCCTGGAGTTTACCTACTTCCCAGCTCCCCCAATCTCCTCTGTGCCCCCCGACACACAGTTACTGGTTCTATCTCCCTCTCACATGCACACACACAGCCCACCCACTTGTTGTAGCTGTTCCAGTACAGTTCAATGTTCTCCAGGTTAGGTGCATGCGTAATGGTATTTCTATACTTTTGTATCAACTCAGAATTTCCAGATATCTCTTCCTGAAGAAGAGAAGAGATAAATTCAGGTTGGAATGTGAAGTCAACAATTGCTGGATAAGAAGAGACAAGCCTTCTTCCCTCCCCAGACAATGTCCAGCTAAGGAAGTCGCCACAAAGAGTCAAGTCCCTGCTGGTGCCCTCTCTGTCCTCTCCATTTTCCAGAACCACTTACCTGGCTGAAAAGATGTCCAAGGATCATCTCCGGAATGGAAGAGGTGAGGCCGGTTAACTATCAGAAAGAGCAGGTAAGGTAAGCATGTTCAGGATATTACGATCTTTACTTCCCTGCCTCATCACCCCCTCCTTGAAATTTAGAGTTAATTCAGTTGCACTTATAAAGTAATTGGACATAAACAGAGACATTCCCCACCCCTGGCTTAACTGGATCCATACTAAAAAAGAATTTCCACCCTAAGTCTCAGAATAGAGGCTCTCCAAACCTTGTGGGCTGCCCAGTCCATCCAGCCCTTGGCATTGGGATCAATGTTGATGAGAACAAGACCTTCAACTGAATCTGGGTGGGAAAGCTGAAAGGCAGCAGAAAGGAAGGAGGTAAGAAACAGGGAAAGGCCTTGTCCCCTTCTCCACTGAGTTCTACCTACCAAACTCTTGTGCCCATTTCCTCCCAAAACACATAGTAATAACTAATAACAATTCCTACAAATTAATCAGGGCCATCCCCCATCTGGGAGTTTTTACTTCTTACAGCATATCGTGACAGGATGTAGGCTCCTGCTCCAACACCAACTCCAATTATTGTAGAGAAACTATAAAAGGTAAACGTATATGTCATGAGCTGTGGTATCCAAAACTTCTGATAGTCTAGTGTCTCACCCTTCTTCCCAAGACCACAAGCACAAGGATAACAGCAAAGGGTCTTCATTTGGGGGATGTAGAAAGGAAAGTATCAAGGAGCTAAAGATAGCACTGGTAGTCAGCACAGATCCCTGAAGTCCATTCCCTTGAAATGACAACAGTAATGTCTACACTAGTAGATGCCAGCCTACCAACCAGATACTCTTTTCCTATATGAATTTCCATTGTCCATTCTCAACTTTCAGAACCAAGTTGAACTTGTTCCACTTCCTGGTTCCACCAGCAGAAGTGGGAAACTTTTTTTCTGCCAAGGGCCATTTGGATATATATAACATCACTTGAGAGCCATACAAAATTATCAATACAGGCATGTGGTGGAAGGCAGCCAACTAGAAGCCAATGAGAATACATGTCTGTCCTGTCATATACCAAAAGATTTCATGGGCTTTATGTTGCCTAAGGGCTGGACATCCCTACCCGCACCAGAGGAACAGGAAGAATGTGAAAACAGAGACAACTTAAGTGAACAGGGAAAATGGGGGAAGTGGAGACAAGAAAAAAGTAAGCTCAACTGCTGAGAGCCATTGTGCTTAGGAAAAGTCAAGCCAAGAACACAACCAGGAGTCAGTACCTCCTTTGCCTCGTGTGGTTTCTTTTTTCCCATTCCGTCTTACACACAAGTTCAACAGGTGTGTGGAGGTGTGGGGAGTAGGAGGATAAGAGACTGATCCATCTGGTTCCTCAGGGATTAGGCCACCCGTTCTCTTCTAGCCTAGCTTCTAAATCAGAGAAGCCCCTCCTCAGCCTAAGGCAGGGCAAGCATATGGCCTTCCTCCTTCCCCTTTCCTCCAATCAGGGATGCTATTCAGCTGACTAATCAATTGTCCAACCCCATGGCCCTTCCTCTTAATAGTCAAGGTGGGAGCATGGGAAAGGTCAGGGACCAAAATTAGCCCTGGAACTATGGTGAATGCAAGGGATTCCTTGTATGACATGAGGGATTCTTCCTGTCAGAAAGACAACTCTGGTTTGGAGGGGTCACAAGGCCTCTCACTTTAAGTACTGCAGGATGCAAGGGATCATATCTGCAAGCTGGTCCAGAGATGGATACTGGTATCTGGGAAAGAGAAGAATGTTAAGAAAGATACCAGCATGTACCAATACCTCCCACCCCATGATGCCTGTCTTATCTTCTCTCTTTCCTCCACTCATCCATTCTCCCCCTACCTGTCCAGTGCCTCACAGACTGGTAGAGTAAGGAGCTGATTCTCACCCCAAAGGGAACACAGGAGCCCCCTCTTCCATTCCAGGGGCATCTACATGAACCCGAACGAAGTTTTGGATGATTTCCTGCATATCCCCGAACTGAAACAGTGGCTGGAAACAAGATTTATCTAAAGAAAACCCACATCACCTCAACAACAGAATCAGATGGAAAAAAGCATCCCACATCAGAACCTACCATCTTGTTTGATGCTACAGTACAGTCAGACCAGACAGCAGCTTTACCCCCAACATGCCTGGGGCTCCCCATCTGCCCACACTGACCCTCCCTCACCCTGGGTTCTTACCCTCCCCCTAGCCTCTTCCCAGAAAGAAGAGGAGCACGAAAGGGAGGTCTTACAGTTGAGTCCCACATCGTGGTAGGTGAATATCGCTGGACGTTTAGGTTTGGGGGTGCCATAGACAGTAAAAGTGACAGAGCCATAAGGTGTCTCCACAGAGTGAGTCTGTAGGAAAGCAGATCACCATCAGGGTGGAGTTCTGTTGAGAGGAAAAGGAGGGCTACACGAAAGTCAGGGGAATGAGGCAGAGGAAAGGAGAAGAGAACAAATAATTAAAAATTGTATCAGCAAAACTTTGGGAAAATATGATAGTGGAAGATGGGTGTGAAGGTGGAAGAAAATCAAAGTCTGGGGTGCATTAAGGAACTCAGAAAGGGAGAAAAGAGGAGAAAGCAAGAAAGGAAAGGAAATCAAGAGAGGAAAACAGCCCTCTGGTACAGAGGGAAAACAAATCCCTCTTCCCACCCTGGGGCTGTCCCCAGGCACGGTGTTACCTGTCCCTGGTCCAGGAGGATTCTGGCAGCTAACTCAGCCTCCTGGAGAGACACACACAGACAGATACACACAACCACAAAGTGTCACAGACGGAGTCACATAAAGACACAGAGAAGAAGGGGAAGAGAGACCACAGACAGAAAGAGTGACAAAAGAAAAAAAAAAAGGAGAGGATGAGGATTAGTATAGTGACAAGACACAAATCTGGGCTTCCATTTGCAGTACATGGGCAGAAGTGGAGAAAGTTGGTGTGTGCATTAGAATAAGAGCCATGAACTTGGGAAGCCAGGCGGCAAGGGGGATATTCAGAGGTCTGAGTTTCAGCCAGGGAAATCAGGGGATCTCCAGTAACCTTGGCCGCCTCAAGTGTCTGTCCTGGCAACAGTGGCTTCTCCTCTGTGATCTGTACCTCCTGCAGCTCCGCCATGATAGCCTGGCAGGGTGAGAAAACAATAGTCCTGAGAGGCTGCCTCCTGCAGCACCTGGCTTCCCCGATAATGCTCAGACAACTGAGGGTGCAGGGGGTCCCAGGGGCTTAAGACTACTATGGGACATCATGAGGATCTTTCCTACCTCCATTATTTCCAGGCAGACCAAGGAAAGGGATTGCAGAAGAGGAATCAGGACATGCCTACAGATTGCATATCCTGCTGTTGCCCCCTCCACATCCACACTCCAGACCCCTTCTTCCCCTAGCCTGGACAGAATTACCAGGGTGGAGTAGCAGTGTGGCTCCGGTTTCTTAAGCTATATTTAGGGGGACACCCTACACACCCAGTTAGTTAGGCACAATGTGAAACTTGTGGTTCAATGACGGAGAACTCTTAAGGTACCAAGGAATAAGGTAGTGAGAGTTTATAATAGACTATTACCCAATCTTTAGCAACTCAGGGAAGAGGGGGCTAAAAATGTCCAAAGCCTGTGGCTCACACCTGTAATTCTAGCTACTTAAGAGGCTGAAATCTCAGGGTAGTAATTTGAAGTCAGTCCAGGCAAGAAAGTCTATGAGACTTTTAGCTCCAGCCTTGAGCATACAAACTGAAGGACAGCACTAGTGCCCTGAGTTCAAGCTGCAGTACATGTGAGCGCGCGCACACACACACACACACACACACACACACACACACACACAAAGCAATGGTCATGGGAGAGGAAGGACACAACAACACAAGGATATAAATATCCAGCCCAACAAATACGCCCCTCCTAAGTCTCAATACCCTTTCCTCCCCACCCCTAACTGCAAGTAAATGTTCACACATTCTCAATTAGAGGGGCCACAGAGGCTGCCTCACAATGCAGCCCAGCCAAGGAAGTTTGCAGCCTAGGGGTGGGGTCACTTACTGGGCTCCTATTGGCTGAATGCAGTGGAATTAAGAGGTCAGAGTTCTCAATCCTCGATCTGAGAAAACACAGTAACAAGGTTAATGACATGGGAAACTGACCCTGGGTCTTTTAGGGACAGAAAGCATCCACTTTCTGGTGCCTCCCAGGGTCACTAACCTTCCTGGGGTCACTAGCTCTCCCCAATCCCTAGCCCCGAGTCCAGAAACCATGTCCTCCCTAGGCTTTAATCGATACAAACTGGACAGACCTTCGAAAGGACACAAAGGATGTCAGTCCAGGCTGGGATAGGGGCTGGCGAGAAGGAGGTACTAATATGGACGAATGAGTGTGTCAGAACTTCTGGATTCTACCCCTGGCTCTGCCAGTAACAGTGTCACCTTGGAGCAGTCGCTTACTATCAATTTCCTTTCCTCACACTAGAAGGAGACTAGAGGTTTGTGACAGCTCTCATTTGTAACGAAAGTAGCAGAGTCTGACAACTTCCCTCCAGTATTTAAAAGTAAACAAAACGCTTCGCGCCTTCGTTTCTCTCCACCCAGTGTCTGTGTAGGTCCCGCGTGTGAAGAGAGATGATAGGTAGGGCCTTCCGACAATCTCCCAGCCTCCCCGACGGCGGGCGAGCGCCTGTGTAAGCCGGGAAGGGATGGGTGGGACTTCAGGAAGCGGTCAGACCCGGCACCCAAAACCCGTCCCCAAAAGTTCCTGCACGGCCCGTCCGCGTGGGGTCCTAACACTCTTCGCATGGCCGGCGCCGAGCCCTGGCTCGTGGACACAGTCCCGTGAGCACCCCCTAAGAGCGCCCAGCAGCACGATCAGAGCGTCTGCCTTTGTGCACAGCGGCCCAGCGCACCCGCCTCGCGGGTCCCGGACCCAGCTGGCTGCTCCCAGGGTTGGAATTCGGGCCCGCCAGGCCCCGCGGCCCCTCGCCCGCCCCTCCCCCTACCTGCCGAGGCCTCCGCGGTCGCTTCCACCTTCACTTGCCTTTGACGCGGGCCCGCCCCAGCTCGAACTCCCCACAGGTCCGCCCCGCCCCGCCCACGGGGCCTCAGCTCCAAACACCGTCCCGGACCTCCCGACACTGCCCCCCTCCACCCCGCCCCAGGCTGCACCGCCCAGGGAGGAGCTGCGTTGGGGCCGAGGCCGGGGTGGGTAGCCTCTTAGGAAAGCAAACTGCTGGACGCTTCCAGCCTCTTCCTGGCGCTCTCCACAACACCCTCCAGCCGCGAACATGGAGTGTGCATGGGGACTCCTTAATCCCGCAAGAAATCCCCTCGTCCACCCCAACACTGCGCCTCTCTACGGCCTGGCTCTGCCGGTCTCACTCTAGTTCCTTCTTCCCCCCCCCCCCGCACTCAGTAAGGGGATGGGTAGTGGGGAGACCAAGCCCAAGTACCAACACCCCAAGAATTAAACTCCGCCGGCGTGGGAACAGCTAGCTTGAGGAAGAGGAGGTGGGCGATGACCGCTGCTCGGGAGGCCGGGGTCTCAGCGAGAGAGGAAGGTGTGCCCGCACCCAGAAGCGTAGCAATGGGGTAGGGGTGGACCGAGGACTCAGGAATTCCTACTCTGCGGCGTGCAGGGTCCTGGTACCTCTCGTTTTCTGCGTCCGGACGCCTGCTCTCCGGCTGCTCCACTAGAAGTTGGAAACTGGGCGGGGGGGGGGAGGGGGGAGAGGGGGGCCGCGGGGCGGGGAATGCTCGGGGCAGCTATAAATAGAGGGCGATCGCTTGAGGGGGGGGAGGATAGCCAACGGGGACTCCCGAGTCAAGGCCCCAAGGAGGGGGAGCGAGAGGGGGTTGGGACCCTCAAGGGTTCTGACACCCGGTAAACAGGCGAGGAGGCGGAGTTAACTCTGTAGGGGTGGAGTAGGGGCTTTGGGAAGGACGCTGTGTCCCGGGCTGAGACCCAAGAGACCCTGTGGCGCTCCGGCACTAACCCCTCCCAGCCCAGAAAAGGAGGGTGAGACCAGCTCAGACCGGCTGAGTCCTTACGCCCTAACTATGGTTTCTCCAGGACTGCTGTGATTCTACCGTGCATGGATGAGTGTGCCACCCTAGACTTGCACACACACTAGGTGCAGCCCCCTGCTACTTAGAAGAAGGCCTCCTGGAATGGGATAGTTAATGTGACTAAGGAAATCCAAAGTCGTCTTAGGCGAAATAAAACCAGCCTGAACTTCTCTTCACCTGCCCCACTTTTTAGCTCTCCACCTCCTAGGATCACCCCCACCCCATCCCCCTGCAGCCTGGTTTCTGACTTGCCATGGGGGGCTGGGCGTCAGGCCAGCTGAGAACAATAGCCAATGGAACTTGAGCTGCCAACTGCAAAACCATCACAGACTGCCCCCACAAGACCCCCAAATTGCCCCCCCCCTGCCTGGGAACTACCCTCCCATTACCACCCACAACCCCCCTCCCAACCAAGAACATCAATGCCCCTTTCATCCCCACTTGGCAGGTCTATTGGAAAGGAGAGGCCAAGAGGGAGGAGGGGACCCCAGGCCAGAAGAACTGGTTAGTCTCAAACCTAGTCTTCAACAACCCCAAATATAAGAGACTCCTTATATCCCCCAACTGGAGCACCTAAGTTTTCCTTTCTTCCCAATCCCACTCCCTTCTATTTCCCCAGAGCTGTGCCACCCAACCCTCTCATCACTCTGAATGTGGGCTTAAGCACACTCTCTTTGACAAGAAAGTAGCTTAAATTAGGCCCAGAGGCAAGAAATAGAATTTCAGCAACCCCAGTAAACTTGGGTGCCCATGGGGTGGGGGGTTGGGGGACCTACAGTGAGAATTTCTGTCCAAAGCCTTCTCTGATGTTCTCAAGTTGCCTTACTTGGAGTGGGGGAGGGAAGGACCTGAAGGTTCCAGCATCTAAATTCGTCTCTGGGTCAGGATGACTCAGGGGGAACCTGATAAGGGACTAAGCAGGGGTTTGGGGAGGACAGGAGATGGGAAATTTCCACTGAGGTCAGTGTGCTTCCCAAGTCTAGGGGGTCCCATTCAGCATACTGCAGGCATAAGTAAGATTGGTTCTACCTTAAAACAGGGTTCTTTTCTGTCAGGACAGCTCCAAGCCAGACCTGGGTGTAACTGTCCACAAGAACAATTACCATTTTCTGGGCCAAAAGCAGCTTCAAACTATGCCTTCAACTATGCAACAGGTCACCCACCTGCTATGTCCAGACATTTTGTGGATGGAATTAGAAGAAGTATGAAGTTTGGTCAAACCTTCTCTAGAGAGACAAGGTACAAACAGGAAAAAGAGGGAATTAATATTAAGAGAATAATTCCTGAATCTAGTTTCAACTGTTCTCCAGTGAGAGATCAGAGATTCCACTCACACATGGTAGTTTTTGTATCCCCTGAAGAAAAACAAAAAGAAAGACTGAAAATTCAAATATACTTTCAAATATATGTAACAGTGTCTGGTGATCAAAACTATCTATATACACAATAAAACATACATTGGCAAAACATAGATAGAATTTACTAAGTTCACTTTCAATCTTCTATGTGCCTGAAGATTCCAAAATCTCTAGTAATACTTGAAAAACGTTCATCACAGGAGATTGTAGCCTCCAATCTAAGAGCCATGTCTTACTATAATTTAGAAAGAGAGAGATTTTGTTTCCAGAGTGAACCACACAGATGAGAAGTATTGAATTGTAGAGAAAAGCATTCTTTCTAGGCAGGAAGGGCATGTGAGATGTAGAAATACACAAGCTACTTGGAAGAATTGAAGAGTAGCTACAGGCTCTTCCCATATGTAATCCCCAATGGTTTAAAGACATTATTGTCTTTACTACAGAGATGAGAAAACTGAAGCTTGAAGGAACTGAATGACTTGCTCATGGCTACCCAGCTAGTAATGACATATCTAGTACCCAGCTTAGACAGACTGAGGCTAATCTGCTTGCTTGGTTTTAAGACCTCTAAAGTTCATCTATCTTGTAACGCTTTTTGCCAAAAACCATAGAGAAAACCCTGACAACATTTTTTGCACTTCATAAAAACTATGCCAAGTCAGTGGATCACACCTGTAATCCTAGCTACTTAGGAGGCTGAGATCTGAGGATCACAGTCGAAGATAGCCAGGGCAGAAAAGTTGGTAAGACCCTTATCTTTAATTAATCACAAAAAGCCAGAAGTGGAGCTGTGCTTCAAGTGGTAGAACACTAGACTTGAGTATAAAAGCTCAGGGTCAAACAAAGGAGGAAGCAACATGCTCAAATAGAAATGTATTCATTACCTTGCTCATGTAATTGTAACCCCTCTGTACCATGTTTTCACAATTAAAAAAAACTTATTAAAAAACAACAACTCAGGGACAGTGCCCATGCCCAGAGTTCAAGCCCCAGGACCCACAAAAAAAGAGGAAGAAGAAGAAGGAGGAGGAGGAGAAGGAAAAGGAGAAGAAAAAAAGAAAAGAAAACCTTATCTGGAAGATTTTCAGACTCTGAAACCTCAGTCTGGCCTTCTCTTTCCTTTTTGAGTTCAACACTAGAATCCTTTAAAGTTCTTACTGAGGTTTAGTGGCCAAAGTCAGTGGGATTCTCACACTGGTCACTACAACCTGAGCCTGGAAATGAGACAGGAGAGCAATGGTAGACTGAAGCAAAGGGTTTTGTTTATTTTATTTATTTATTTTTTTATTTTTATTTTTTATTTTTTTGCCAGTCGTGGGGCCTGAACTCTGGGCCTAGGTGCTGTCCTCAGCTCTTCAGCTCAAGGCTACCATTTGAGCCACAGTGCCACTTCCAGCTTTTTGCTTATGTGATACTGAGGAATCGAACCCAGGACCTCATGATGCAAGGCAAGCACTCTACCACTGAGCCACGTTCCCAGCCCCGGTTTTGTGTATGTTGGTACTGAGGCTTGAACTTCTAGCCTGAGTGCTGTTCCTTTACTCTTTTCCTCAAGGCTGGCATTCTAACACTTGAACCACACCTCTACTTCTGGCCCTTGGATAGTTAATTGGAAATAAGAGTCTTACAGACACTGGGCGCTGATGTCTCATGCCTGTAATCCTAACTAGTCAGGAGGATGAGATCTGAGGATCGCGGTTCAAAGCCAGCCTGGGCAGGAAAGTCTGTAAGACTCTTATCTCCAATTAACCACCAGAAAACTGGAAGTGATGCTGTGGCTCAAGTGGTAGAGCACTCACCTTGAGCTGAAGAGCCCAGGGACAGCGCCCAGGCCCAGAGTTCAAGCCCCACAACTGACAAAAAAAAAAAAAAAGAGTCTCACAGACTTTCTTACCTGGGTTGACTTCAAACACTGATACCCAGTTATCAGCCTTTCAAGTAACTAGAATTATAGACATTAGCCATGGTGCCCAGCACAGATGTTGTTGTCAACCTTGACTGTTGTGGGCTGAATGTTTGTGTACTCTCACAATTCACATATTAAAATCAAAATTCATCAGAATGATAGTATTAGGAAGTAGGGCCTTTGGAAAGTTATGATTAGATTTCCTGAGTGCCAGACCCTATGAATAGGGACAGACACAGAAAAAGGTTTTGCTCCTTTGTCCAACTATATGAAGACACAGTAAGGCACCAGCTCTAAACCAGAAAGTAGCCCTCACCAGACTCCAAATGGATTGGTACCACCATCTTAAAACCTTGAGAACCATGAGAAGTGAATTTTGTTATTACACTTGCCTATGGCAGCTTTCCTGGGCTAAGAATACCTTCTCTAGGCCCTCCTCAGCTTTTTTCTAAGGAAAGCATAAGACAATTTGACTAAGACCCAGAGGATGGGTAAATTGGGCTGAAATGATGAGGGATTTGACAAAGGTTGACAACTTACTCAATTCAGCATGCAAGATTATACCCTAAAGACAAAGGTCTAACTGGAACCACAAGAGATATCACATGAGCACTGTGACATCATCACTGCCACATCTTCCCTGCCAGCTACTCCCACATACCTTTACACACTTGGACACAGAGACTGGGAAGGATCATACATTATCCAGACACTCTCAGATACACAAAATGATGAGGAAATGGGATTATTCAATACTTAGCATGGATATTAGTCTCTGTATTGTAAGGAAGAAGGAACTTGGTAGCTGCTGTAGATAGGATGGAGGAGGACCTCTGGATAGAAGTAAGGCATTATTCCTCAGTTCTCCCTTTCCCTCTTCTCTCACTCTTGAGGCTCTTCATTACCTTCCCCCACCACAAATTGACCATGGCATCAATTATTCCACTGATTTGCCATCTTCAATGAATTGTTAAGCAATGACACTGAAATAATAAGGACTTCTCCAAGCTGTGCAAACCTTGTGACATCAGCCAGGCACCAGTGGCTGGCGTCTGTAATCTCAGCTTTTAAAAAAACTGAGATCTGACTATTGTAGTTCAAAGCCAGCTCAGAAGGAACGTCCTTGAGATTTTTTTTTTTTTGGTCGGTTATGGGGCTTGAACTCTGAGCCTGAGCGCGTCCCTCAACTCTTCAGCTCAAGGCTAGTAGTCTACCACTTGAGCTACAGCACCACTTCCAGTTTTCTGAGTGTTTATTGGAGATAAGAGTTTCACAGACTTTCCTGCCCCGGCTGGCTTTGAATTGCGATCCTCAGATCTCAGCATCCTGAGTAGCTAGGATTATAGGCATGAGCCACCAGCGCCTGGCGTCCTTGAGATTCTTATGTTCAACTAACCACCAGAAGCCAGAAGTGAAGATGTGGCTCAAGTGGTAGAATGCTAGCCTTGAGTGGAAAAACTAAGGAACAGCACCCAGGCCCTGAGTTCAAGTCCCAGGACTGGCTGTGCCCATGTGTGCTTGAGTGCACATGTGTGTGTTTGTCTTATTCACACACACACACACACACACATAAAATTAAGAGACAATAAAGGAGCTGGGCCAAAAGTAGTTCAAGAAGAGTCCAGATGAAACTCTGAAGGACATCTGTTCATCCATGCAGGACAAGGACCCAGCCACTGCTGTTAATAGTGAGTGATGGTCTTTATTCATAGCCTTTGAGCCTTCCTTCCTATATCTCTTCTGCTTTAGTCCCTGCTTTCATCCTCCAGTATCCAAACTCTGACAACTCTATAACTTGGGAAACAGCAGAAACTGACCCAGAAAGGGGAAGTAATGACCAAGGTACACAATAGCAATTTGGGGATACCAAGCTGTGAAGTCATAGAGGCCTATTCCATGATTGGCCACAATATAACTATTTTATTAATTCAATTCAGATTCATTTCCAAATAACCAGTATTCAGGCATCTAGTAGTTGGTGGTTCTGGGGAGATATGTGCATCTCTTCCTTTAAAGTTTAATCTCATACCTCCTGCCTCTCACCCATTTTCTTCCTTATTGTTCCCTCTATAGAGTAGCAACCTTTTTATTCTGGGTTAGGGGCTGAAGTCCTCAGGTAGAAACCTGGTCAGAATAACTCCTCTGGAAAGATAAGCATCTGCCTTTCCTCCTCACATACCACACACATCTCTATATCACATTCTCACTGCCTTGTGGGTAGCAGAACTCCTGGTCACAGCTACATTGGCCCTGAGGAAGCAGCATGGTAAGTAAGAAACAGAAGCAGAACAAGAGCTCTGAGCACTTGTTGGGAGGCTTAAACTTATCCTCTGGCTTGCAGAAATCAACATCAGTGGATGTAGTTTGACATATACCGAGAAGAACAGTGGCACCCACAAAGATGAAAATGGCAAAGGCAAGGGTACTGAAGATATGTGGAGACTGGCAACTCCGGCCACAAGAGTGCTGGCACCAATGATGGCAAGAAGAGCAGCAAGTAAAAGCTTCACTTTAGCCTGTTGGTCCCCTGACCCTTAACCTTTATTTTATTTATTTATTTACTTATTTTTGTGCCAGTACTGGGACTTAAACTCAGGGCCTGGACATTGTCCCTTAGCTTTTTAACTTAAGGCTGGTGCTCTATGTGCTACTGCTATATTTCTAGTGGTGGTTAATTGGAGATAAGAGTCTCATAGATTTCTCTGCCTGAGTTGATTTTTGAACCAGGATCCTCAGATCTCAGCCTCCTGAGTAGCTAGGATTACAGGCATAAGCCAGTGGTGCCAGACTCTAACTCCTCATTTTTAATCCAAAGGAGTCTAGGAAATAATATACATCTCTGTATGCATCAGCCAATGAGGTTGGGTTAATAAGAGCAAGGGACAGATTAGCCTGTTGGTAGAAATGGGGAGAAAAATCCCGAGTCAGAGTTTTCAGCCTTCTATCCTGCAAAGCTTTATACCTACCAGCCATAAGTTGCTCTGTTTAGAGACTGCTTCAAAAGAATATATTTAGAGATAAACCAGATGTAAAGGCAAAGTATTTGCTCCCTGTGTTCACATATCTTTGGTACCCCTTCCTTCCTTCCTCCCCAAAAGAAGTAGCGAATTTCTTGTTTCATATGCTGTGACCTAGGTATCTCTGAATAGACCCTTTCCTGTGTCTCCCACTTTCCTCATCTGTTGAAAGTCAGGTTTTGTTCAGAGAGTAATAAAACCATGTAGAGCCAGGGGAAGGGTGAATCCACTTTTAACACAGCCCAAAACTGGGTCTCCCCCACACACACCTCAATCATGGCAGCCATACAATTCAGACCTTTCTGACCACTCAGAACAGCCTAGGAGGATGGTCAGAGGGAGATGGCCACCAGGACTCCAAGAGCAGAAAGAGGAATTAAATCATAATTGAGTCAGACGTGTTTTAACCTTTTTTATTTTGACATGATTCACAAGAAGTTGAAAAAATACAGAGAGAGCTTATGCATCTTTTTTTTTTCTAAACTTTCATTTACTGTTGGCTTTCTTTTTTGTTTTTTTGGTTGGTCATGGGGATTGAACTCTGGGCTTGGGCGCTGTCCCTGCATTCTTCAGCTCAAGGCGAGCATTCTACCTCTTGAGCCACAGCGCCACTTCTGGTTTTCTAGTGCTTTATTGGACATAAGAGTCTCATGGACTTTCCTGCCCAGGCTGGCTTTGAACCACGATCCTCAGATCTCAGCACCCTGAGTAGCTAGGATTATAGGCATGAGCCACCGGCTCCCTGCTCATATGCATCTATCACTTGGTTTCCTCCAGTATTTGAACTCATGTATAGGAGATTGAATGGTAGGTAGATACCCTAACACTTGAGCCACACCTCCAGCCTCTTTTTGCATTGATATATTTCATAGTAGGGTCTCACTTTTTTTTGGGGGGGGGTCCAGTTGTGGGCCTGAACTCTGGGCCTGGGCACTGTCCCTCAGCTCTTCACCTCAAGGCTAGAGCTCTACCACTTGAGCCACAGGGCTAGTTCCAGCTTTTTTTTTTGTTCTGATTATGTGGTGCTGAGGAATCGAACCCAGGGCCACATGCATGCAAGGCAAGCACTCTACCACTGAGCCACCTTCCCAGCCCCAGGGTCTCACTTTTTGTCTGAGCCATGGCTGTGATCTTTCTAGTGAGACTTCTTTGTGTTGCTGGGAATGACAGGCACTAGCCACTTCACCCAGCCATGGGTTCCCCGCAACACTCACCCCAGATGGGATACAAGCACAAAGCACGACATGTAGCCATTTGTTGAGATAGAGTCTGGAGAATTTTTTTTCTGGGGTTGGTCTGGAACAGTAATCACCCGATCTCTACTAGAAATAACTAGAATTAGACTTGAGCCACCTCACCTGGCTCAGTTGTAGTTTTAAAACTATGACTAGAGCTGTGGCTGAGCCTGCTTCATTGCCTTCGTAGCAGCAGAACCTGAAACCTGGGTGACGTTGGGAGGAGCTACTGGAAAGAAAGGGAAAAAAATAACCAGACAGGAATGGATGAGAGAAGGTAACTTGAAATTCCAGTGGGCCAAAGAGAGAGGATGGAAAACAGAGGGGTTTTTTGAGAAAAGAAAGGCAGTTTGGAAGTATAGATGAAAACTCTGGGCTCCATGGTAGAAGAAAGGAGGAAAGGAGAAGTATATGAAGAGAAAAAAATCTGTGATTTCATAAAGAAGAGCAGGCTTGCAATTGAGGGGATGTGGGGTAGTGAGGTTAAAGTATATCTAAGGGTCTCCTAGATCTGGAGTTACTCATTGTAATGGGAAGGAGAGGGTTACAGGGGAAATGGAAAGACTGAGATGGGAAGCAAGGACACTGGAGCTGGGTGCCTGTTGCTATGGTGTGCGCTGGGGCCCTAGGCCTCTGTCCAGGAGTCAGGATCTGGCACAGGAATGGACAGGCACTGCCAACTGGGCATAGTCAGCTTCTTGGGTGGGTTTTACTGTCGCTAGGAGAGGGAGGATGGTGGTAGGAGTGGTCAGAAGGTGGTAAACAAGCTGGAAAAAGCCTAAAAGTTTGATTGCAGTTATCAAAGCTCTAAATATTTCCCTAGCCTCCTGGTCTCTTGGGAGGAGCTTTGTCTTCCTTGGACATTGGTAGAAAACAAACAACAACAACAAAAAAAAAAAAACAGGCACCCATGGCACATGCCTGTAATCCTAGCTACTCAGAAGGCTGACATCTGAGAACTGCACCTCGAAGCTAGCCCAGGTAGAAAAGTCGGTGAGACTCATATCTCCAATAAACTACTCAGAACAAGTTGAAACTGGCACTGAGGTTCAAGTGGTAGAGTACTAGTCTTGAGAAAAAGAAGTTCAGGGACAGCACCTAGGCCCTGAGTTTAAGCTCCAAGTTCAAGAAGAAAAAAAAAAAAAAGACTCAGCCTAGGCAGGAATGTCCATGAGACTTTTATCTCTAATAACCACCAGAAAGCTGGAAGTTGGAGATGTGGTTCAACTTGATAGAGTGATAGCCTTAAGAGAAAAAGCGAAGGAACAGGCCCCAGGCCCTGAGTTCAAGCCCAATACTGGCACACACAGAAAGGAAAGAAAGAAAGAGAGAGAGAAAAAAGGAAGGGAGGGAGGGAAGAAAACTTGTGGGAAGCAAAATTTGGGAAAGGGAACAAGCAGACCTGCAGTGGTCTGTAGGAGGTGGGGGTGGTTTGGGAATTAAAATTCCCTAGTAGAGGCCAATGACACCTATGGGTTCACCATCATACTTTCGGGAGCAGAGCAGGTAGAGCCTTTGGTTGGTTAGGGTGCTATTGTAGCGGCAGCTGGTGGGCGGCTGTTTAGAGCCCAGGGTACAGATTGTGATAGGGAAGGAGCTCTGGGTGAGTGTGCAGTATTCATTGTAGTTCTCACAGAAGCTCTCACTATGCTTGCAGTCCTCCTGGATGGCTTCCCAGGGGGCATGGACCACATAATGGATCTTTGGACAAAACCAGTCTTGCATTCTACCCCTCACATAGGCCATAAGACCATTGCAGTAGCCACGGAAACCCCTTGGATACACCACTCTGGGATAGTCCAAGTGCAAGCTGCGGAAGTTCTTGATGGCGGTATGTAGCCTGTTGTCCATGACCAGAGTTGGCCCTAGAACAAGCTGGAGGAAAAGGAGCAGGACCCCAGCTGGTGTCATTCCTCCTGTGTCAAAATTAAGGTGGTTGGAGACAGCTCAACATTAGAGTGACTATCCATTCCTTCCCAGAGCCTCCAGAATTCCCCAATCTTCCTAGGCACCTTTTCTACCCTCTAAGAGCTGACTACTATAGTCAGCTGATGCTGAGAGACAAGGCACCTACCCAAGGCCACACCGCTAATCAGCTACCTACAGACACCCCCACCCCCACCCCCACCCCCCACCCCCACCCCGGTCCCCTGGTTCAACAACCAGGTCTCAATCTTACCCAGTCGGTGGGTTGCAACACTCCAGCTGGTCCTTGGACAAGGATGCTTCTGGATTAACCCTGGCCCTTGACACTTGTTCTGGTAAATGCAGAGGAGGTAGAAAGAACAGGCTTCGGTGGTAATTCTCTTAGAGCATGGGAAAAAGGACAGGAGATGAAGACAGCTGGGTAAAGGAAGAGATGCTTCTTCTTCAAGGGCAAGGACAACCTGGAGGTGAGAGGCAGCTTAAAAGGTTTCTGGATGAAGACCAGTTTGGGAGGAGGGAAACATCCTTTGAGTCTGAGAAACCTCTGGGCTGAGGAGTTGGATGGGTAGGAGGAAAAAGACATTGCTCTCTGGTCTCTTCTGGTATCTTCTTCAGAACACTTAGTTCCAATCTCCTTGCCAGAAGTTCCTGGGCTAAGTCTCCTGCCTAAGTTCCTGGGCTTTTTTTTTTTATGTTTCTTTGATGTTCCCAGCCCACTGATCCTGCTCTTGCAGTCAGGTAGGAAGAAAAGCACTGTCATGTATCCAAAGAACAAATGTTCCTTAAATGACCCTCAGAGAATGGAATGTCTGCCACTGTCATCCCACTCACAGGAGCCAAGGAGGCCTCCCACCAACCTGCCACACCGAGAATCAAGGATTTCCCACGGTCTTTGTCATTAACCCAGCTTCTCTCATGGTAACATCCTTTCCTGTTTTGTGACCTGTGAGTCATAGCACTCCTAGCAATCTATATAAATCTAAATGAATTCTCAAGCTTGGCAGGTTGGTTCTGACAATGTGATCTAGATTGGGAAAGAACCACATAGCCTGGTCATGATCTCTGCTTGTGGGTGGCCATTGGATATTTTGTTATCCTAGGAAAGGGTGAGGATCTTAATTTGCATTTTCATCAAATATCTGTCTCCTTCATCACAGCCCAAGAGATGGCTTTCTGGCCATCCAGTCTTAGTCCTTCACTTTAATAAGCCTCTCAGCTTTATCTTCCCACAGGGAGTTGTCATCATTTTGGACTTCATTGTGAGAGAGAGAGACAGAAACAGAGACAGAGACACAGAGAGACAGAGAGAGACAGAGAGAGAGTGTGTGTATGTATGTGTACTGGTCCTGGGGCTTGAACTCAAGGCCTGGAGTCTGTTTCTAAACTGTTTTGCTCAGGGCTACTACTCTACTACTTGAGCCACAGCTCCACTTCTGGCTTTTTTGGTGCTTAATTGGAAATAAGAGTTTTATGGACTTTCCTTCCTAGTCTAGTTTTAAACTGTGATCCTCAGATCTCAACCTCCTGAGTAGCTAGGATTACAGGTGTGAGCCACCATTACCCAGGAAGACTTCATTATTTTTAGGAGAGGGTCTGATTATATAGTCACAATCATCCTTCCTCCTAAGTGCTGGGATTACAGTTGTGTGCTTGTGTGCTACTGCACAACTTTTTCTTTCTTTCTTTCTTTCCTTCTTTCTTTCTTTCTTCCTTCCTTCCCTCTCTCCTTCTTTTCTTTGTATGTTTTTTTTGGTCCTGTAAACTAAGGCCTCATGTTCTCTCTTGACATTTTCATTCAAGGCTATCACTCTACCACTTGAGCCACATCTCCACTTCTGGCTTTTGCTAGTTAATTGGAGATAGTTGTCTTTTGAATTTGTCTTCCTATCCTGTCTTTGAACTGGTATCTCCTCAGATCTCAGCTAGCTGAATAACTAGGATTTCAGGCATGAGCCACTGGCCACCAGAACTGGGCTCCTTCTTAGGAGAAACTCAGTAGGTGAAAAACTCTCACCAATAGAGGAGGGAATCTAAAGCAGACTACTGAGTGCTCCAAGGCCTACTGTGAGAAGGAGTTTGGGATCATAGTAAGACAAACTATAGACTTGCTTTTTTTTTTTAATTTTATTTTATTTTATTTGTGAACATACTGTACAGAGGGGTTACAATTGCATGGGCAGGATAATGCGTACATTTCTTACCAAGCATTGC